CATTGCTTCTTCATAACTGTAATTTCGTTCCTGCTATGAATCGTTATGTAAATATCTATGTTTTCCAGTGGTCTTAGGTGACCACTACGAAAGGGTCATTAGATCTCCAAAGGGGTTGTGACCCACAAGTTGAGAACCACTGGTCTAGGGTATTGTCTGTCTTGGCAAAATTTTGAAGTTCAAGAGATTTGTGGTAGAAAAATATATGTTATTCTTTTGTTTTGTTTTGTTTTGTTTTTGTTTTTCGAGACAGGGTTTCTCTGTATTGCTTTGGAGCCTCTTGTGGAACTTGCTCTGTAGACCAGATTGGCTTTGAACTCACAGAGATCCATCTGCCTCTGCCTCCCAAGTGCTGGGATTAAAGGTTTTTCCCCTGGCTGGTCTCACCACCATGTCAGCCCCAAATAACACACTAAGCCCCTGTATTAGATATAATTCTGTTGGCCTGTTACTAGTTTCTTATTGGCTAGCTCTGTCTTAATTATTAGCCCATTTCTATTAATCTAAGTACTTCCACATGGTCTTATCTTACCAGAGAGAGTGGCTAGCATTCTACTCTCTCAGTACTCCGTTTTGATCGCCTCCCTACTACTTCCTTTTTCCTCCTTTTCTCCTAGTCCCACTTATCTTCTTTTCCTATTGGCCAACAGTGTTTTATTCATTAACCAATAAGAAAAACATATTTACAGAATGACATCTCCCATCAGCCCAGCATATGTGTTATTCTTAAAGTCTTATTCTTTAAATGTAATTAAGTTGGTTCTCATAATATATGTTATTCCTAAGTCTTATTCTGTAAATGTAATTAAGTTGGTTCACATAATATATGTGATTCTTAGTCTTATTCTTTAAATGTAATTAGATTAAGTTGGTTCATAGAGTCTACTGTATCATTTCCATTATTCTGCCTACTTACTGTGTCAGTGATTGAGGAAGGAACATTGAAATTTTTATGTGTATTTCAATATTTTAATATTTCCTTAGAGTTGTCAGTTACTACCTTATATATTTGTACATATCCATATGTATTTGTATATAAAAATATTTTTATATATGTATATGCACATGTATATATAAGTATATACAAATATATAATTTTAGAAATATTTTATATGTATAGTATTTTGCCTGCATTTTGGTGCCTGAGGGGCCAGAAGACTAGACCTGGAGTTAAAGATGTTTGTGAACCACGGTGTGAGTGCTGGAATTAAATTCAAGTTCCCTCGAGAGGAGAGAGTGCTCTTAACTGCTGAACCATCTCTCCAGACCCCAAATATACTTTTTGTGTATGGTGCTTTGGACTTACCCTAAGGTCTCATGCATGCCAAGCAAACCCTCTACCATTGAACTATAGCCTAAGTCCTACATACATTTCAGTGTCTACTTTGGGGTTTAAAAATGTTTGGCATGTAATATCAGTAGCTTTAATTCTAGCTCTTGGGAGGCAAAGGCAGGTGGAACATATAAATTCAAGGCCAATTTGGTTTATATTTTGAGTTCCAGGCCAGCCAGACCTTTATAATAAAACGCTGTCTCAAATATAAAAAAAGAAAGAAAAAAAAAAGTGGTTCTGGCTCTCTCTTTTCCTTGCTCTGAAGTATACACTGGCTGATATAATATACACATGTATAAGATCTATACCTGATATATAGATATATACACACATATATTCATGCATACACATCCTTTTAACCAATAAAAATAATTTTTATTTATTCATTTAATGCATATGGATGTTTTGTCTGCATGTATGTATGTACACCATATGCATACTATGCCCAAGGAGGCCAGAAGAGAATGTCAGATTCTCCAGAACTGGATTAACAAATGGTTGTTAGCCACCATGTGGATGCTAGGAACAGATCATGGGTCGTCTGGAAGAAAAGCAAGTGTTTTTATACCTGAGGCATCTTTCCAACCCTTGTTTTTACTTTTTCAAAAGACTTCAGATTGTTTTCCATAGTGGCATGCCATTTTGAATTCCATTAACAATCACACAAGGATTTTAATTTCTCATGTTCTTTTATTTTCTTATTCTTTGTTTTCAGACAAAGTTTTTCTATTTTTTCAAGTTGGGCTTGAACTTGTGATTGTGTGTGATCCTCATTTCTTGGCTTCTCAAGTAGCTGGGATTTTAGATATGCATTTTCTTCTTTCTTTTTCTTCTTTTTTTTTTTTTTTTTTTTTTTTTTTTTTTTTTTTTTGAGCTAATCTTCGTGTAGCTTGAGCTAGTTTTGAACTCCTGAAACCTTCACTTCACTTCTGTCCCCTAGATGTTAGGATCACTGGGCTGTACCACATCCAGCTGTATGTGATACTTGGGTAGAACCAGCTTCCTGCATGTTAAGCAGACATTCTCTCTACCAACTGAGGTACAAACTCAGCTCTTTTTTTTTTTTTTTTTTTTTTTTTTTTTTTAATGTAGCAATCCTGATGGATATTAGATGATTTTTTTTTTTTCCTGTTTGTTTTGAGACAGGGTCTCTTAGCCCTGGCTGTCTTGGAACTCACAATGTAGATCAGGCTGCCCTCGAACTTACAGAGATCCACTTGCTTGTGCCTGCCAAGTTTGAGGATTAAATGTATGTGTCACCATGCCTGGCTAGATGATTTTTTTTATTGTGATTTTGGCTTGTGTCACCATGCCTGGCTAGATGATTTTTTTATTGTGATTTTGGCTTGAGAGTGAGTGAAGTTATTGTTTCACATATATCTTGGCCCATTTGTATATCATCTTTGGAGAAACGGTTACTGAATTTCTTTACCTGATTCTTTAATCTGTGGTGTGCTCTTTTCTTTGCATCCCCTTTGCTGTGATTCATCTTGGACTTTCTATCTTTATGGTTACAGATGCATATCTATGGCAGAATCATAGTTAGCATATTTTTGTCTCAGAATTGCAGCTTTCAACCCTGGAAGTTTTATTTCGGTCTTTTTTCATGTTACTTCTTGTTGTTCAACACGGGTCTCACTATGTAGTGTAGGCTGACCTGGAACTCACACTGGGAATGATCTTCCTGTTTCAGCCTCTTGAATGCTGAGGTGTATATGTGCCACCTTGCCCAGCAGATCTTTATTTTTGTACATACAGGATATGGCTGTAATTACTATGTGACTGCCCTTTTTTGTAATTCTAACACAACAGTCCAGTTGTAGTTGATCTTGATTAATTACTCTGTTCATTATGAGTAGCTTCCCTGCTTCTTCACATACTTGGTGTCTTAGTCATTGTTCTGTTGCTATGCAGAGACACCATGACCATGTGTGTCTTATAAAAGAAGGTGTGTCACTGGGGCTTTTACAGTTCCAGGGTTTTAGTTCATTATCATCATGGGGAACATGGCAGCATGAAGGCGGGCACTGGAGCAGTAGCTGAGAGTTCTACATCCTGGCCTGTAGGCTCTGTGTGTGAGTTGGGGGAGGGTGGGTACTGACTAACTGCCTCTGTCTGGCCTTGGCATGGGCTTGAAAGCACATTCATTTTGTCTTTTTTTTAAAGACAGGGCTTCTGCTTCCCATGTACTAGGATTGAAAGTGTGCACCACCATGCCAGATTTGGGGTTTTTGAAAACTCAGAACCCACCTTCAGTGACATACTTTGTCCAACAGGACCACACCTCCTAAATCTTTTGAAATAGTGCAACTCCCTAGTGACCAAGCATTCAAATCTATGACCCCATGAGGGCCATTGCATATCTGTAATGGTTAGGTTTTGTTTTGGTTTGGTTTGTCTGTTTGTTTGTTTGGTGTAACACAGACCTAGACATATCTCTGGAAAGGGTATCTTAATTAAGAAAATGCCTCTGTAATATTGGCCTGTAGGCAAGTCTTTGACATATTTTCTTGATTAATGATGGAATCGGGAGGGCACAGCTCACTGAGGATGGTACCAACTTTGGACAGGTGGGCCTGAATTATATAAGAAGGCAGTATGAGCAAGCCAGGAGATGAAAGCCAATAAGTAGCCATCCTCCATGGCTTCTGCTTCTACTCCTACCTCTAGGCTCCTGCCTTGAGTTACTGCTCATACTTCCCTCATTGGTGGACTGTGATTTTCTACCCCAAGTTGCTTTTGGTTATGGTGTTTTCCACAATAGAAACCCTAAGACAATAGTTAACATTGTGATTTATTTTTTTACCTTTTGGTTGATAAATGTATTGCTATTATGTGTTTTCCTCGAATCTACCAGGTTCCATTTGAATTTTCCTTTGTGCTATTATATAGGAACTTTGGAGGTTGCCAATAATAGGGATTGCTTTTTTGTTTGTCATCTTTTAGGGACTACTGTGTTTTGCTGGTTGATGTCAGTGTCTTGAAAGCTGTTATTTCTTATATTTTATCTTTTTTTTTTTAAGTTTCTTTGGTGTGAGAAAAAATCTGGTCCCTGTTAATACTGCTTACCAGTAGTTTTAACCTGAACCTGTTCTTATGCTAGGATTCTTACAGAAAATGTCTTACTAGCTATTTCTTATTTCCCTTTGAGAGGTGATTTATACAGATTTGAAGATAAATTCAGGGACTGGAGAGATGCCTCAGTGGCTAAGAGCACTGGATACTCTGGCCACTCCTCTAAACGACCCAGGTTCAATTCCCGGTACCCACATGGCAGTTCACAACTGTCTGTAACTCCAGTTCCAGGGGATGTGGCTTCCTCACTCAGACATATGTGAGGCAAAAACCCAATCCACATTTAAGAAAAAGAAGATAAACTTAGTTCAGCTAGCACAAACACTTTTTAAAATGCTCTTGGTTTTGGAGGCTGGCTGCTGGCCACACTTTTAATCCCCTCACTAGGGAGGCAGAGGCAGGTAGATCTCTTTGAGTTCCAGGACAGCCAGAGCTACACAAAGAAACTCTGTCTTGAAAAACAAACAAACAAAAAAAGCCCTTGGATTACTAAACTGATTTTGTGATTCCTTTTTTGAGGGAATTTCTTGAGTTCTTTGGATCAGGATGCTAATTTTACAAAATTCTGAAGTATGTTTTGTTTCATTTTCAGAATTAAGAAAAGAACAGAAGAGCAGCGCTATGCTGAAGAGCAAAGGCTCCTAAGGATGCAATGTCATGAAGAACCTTATTCAGAAGAGAAGATAAATGATGTTTTAGCCCAGCTACAGCTTGAAGAAATAAAAGGATCCAGAGAAAAACAGCACCAGAGAGAAAAAGAATATGTAAGGTGATTGATTTTAAATATTCTGCATGAAGTTCTGACTCTAGAAGAGATAGAAAGTAGGCTTACTCATATTCCTTAGGAGACTTGGTTTAGCTGGGCAGTGGTGGCACACACCTTTAATCCCAGCACTCGGGAGGCAGAGGCAGGAGATCTCTGATTTGAGGCCAGCCTGGTCTACAAAGTGAGTTCTAAGACAGCCAGGGCTACATAGAGAAACCCTGTCTCAAAAAACCAAAGAGAAAATGAGGCGGGGTGGGGGGTGGGGGGGTAGGGATGGGGGAGGCTTGGTTTGTCTTCTCATACTTTTCCTCATTTAGGGTACATACTCCCCACTCTTGGATTAGTACTGCATTTTCCTACTGCTATTTCCCACTCCATAGGAAGACTCAAGGTACAGAGCAATGAAAGCTGGGTATAAAATCAGGATTCATGCTTATTCTCCTAGTAGTTGATTTACCTGACTGCACTGTATTTTTATAGATATGTAGAAGCTTTACGAGCCCAGGTCCAGGAGAAAATGAAGCTTTATAATATCACTTTACCTCCATTATGCTGTTGTGGTCCTGATTTTTGGGATGCTCATCCTGATACCTGTGCCAACAATTGTATTTTCTATAAAAACTACAGAGGTAAGTTTCTTAAGGAATAGTGGAATCCTAATAGCAGTTTAAAAAACTGTGTGTGTGTGTGTGTGCATGTGCGTGTGTGTGTGTTGATTGTGGTTATTTAGAATTTGAGAACTTACTGTATGTATGTAAGAATTATATATATATCTTTATACAACAGCTGTGTGAGGCAATGGGAATTGTTATAGTTTCATTTCTAATTAGTCCTGTTTATGGTGGAGAAGCGTTTCCAGCTCATTACATTGTATATAAGAGGACTTGAGTTCCAGAACACTATTAAGAGTTTGTCCTTTATGGCTAAATTAGGAGTCTGTTATCCTCATACTTTAACAGTGCCTAATACAGACCTACAAGCATAAATCCATATTAGACTGTCCATTCTGCTGTTGACTCGAAAAAAGATGAGGAGCTCTACCAAGAGTCTCAAGTAGCCAGGCAGTGGTGGCACTCGCCTTTAACCCCAGCACTTGGGAGGCAGAGGCAGGCAGATCTCTGTAAGTTTGAAGCTAGCCTGGTCTATAAAGCTAGTTCCAGGACTGTTACACAGACAAACCCTGTCAATAAAAAAAAACAAAAGAGTCCCAAGCAGAAAGAATATAATCCTTCCTGTGGTTGCTAATGTGTGGTATCCATCACTAAATATTGACTTAGAGAACATAGGAACTGTTTATGTCAGCCTCATATAAACACTAAAAATGTTGCCAGTATTTACATTTTGATGTGTTTCATCTCTGTGGTATGAATTTGTTGGTCCTATGAAGTACAAATCTTACCATTCCCTTACTTTAAAAGTTTTCCTCATAACAGGATGAAATGCATGATGTTTTATATACTTCTCACTGGTCTCAGGCCACACTACTGCCTCACCAAACTTGCTCTTACAGTTTTGGGTCTCATTCACTTGGTTCTCTACCTATAACACCTTCCCCCCCCCCACCTCCTGTCAATGCCCAAAGCCCACTTTAAATGGTACAGCGACTCCAATCCTTCCAGTTCCCTAGGTGTCCCTTCATGTCCATCCTCCTGTTATGATGACATTTTGTATGTGCCTGTGGTGTGGAAGTACTTCACTGCAACTTTAGTTTTGCTACCACTCTCTGTGTTCTCTTTTCTTTCCTTGCACAGTGCTTGCTCTATTATAAGGACCTGATAAATGTTTATTCAGTGGCTAGACTTAATCCCTGTGGCATTTTGGGTAAAGACTGATAGGGGGAAAGAAGTGGGAGAGTTGTATAGAACCTGACTTTATTCATTGTTGTGCAAACCTTCATTTGCAGCATATAATCGTGCATTACATTCAGTCATCAATTCTTCTGATATCTCCGAGGGGACCGCCACTCTTCGAAATGCCATTCGTAACTTTGCTTCTGTACATAGACGGACTTCAAAAAAGAGTCTCCAATAAGAGTCTGAAAGCAGTGCCAATGACTGGTAATATTTCCACCTTCCTTCAAAATCAACCAAACAAAGAAATTATGTAGAATAGCTCTTAAAGTGTATAAGGTGTATTATCTGGAAGGAAAACAGTCCCACATAATAACTATCTAATAGGATATCTAACCTTGGCCCAACAGGGAAAGTTGAATGCCAAACTTGTCTTTTGCTTAGTTTGAACCATGTGGGAGCTGTTATTTTAAAAGTGATTAGAAAAATAAGGTTTCTCCGATTTTTGCTGGCTTTTAAACAATGTCCTCTTAGCTTTCTCTTTCTTCATCTAGTTGGAGCGACTCATGAGAAATCTTTGAGGTTATCTTACTGTCCTCCTTCTGAAATTCTGCTTTGAATCCTGACAGTATTGGAGGTGTCTGAGTGTGGCAGCAAAGGAATGGGCTTCTGAGCGCTGACAGCCATCTCTGTTGCCATTGGCTTTTCTCGTTTTGTATAACAATGAGAGATGAGAAGAATTTGAATTTGATGCACTTTAAAAATTTTATTTCCCTCTGTTTCTTTTACTTTTTAAATTATTGCCTCTTTTTTCCACCAGTGACATTGGAGATAGAATTTTTTAATTTTGTTTTTGCACACTGTTTGTAGCAACGGTACTCAGAACAGCCCGTGTCCGTGGATGAATGTAGAAGGGTTTGTAGGCTTCCTCTTCTCACATGTTGCAGCAGCATGCTTATGAAATGAGCAGTCACCAAAAGACAGGTATTACAATGCTACTCTTGTGCGCTCCACAAAGTAGTCAGATTCCCAGAAATAGTAAAATAGTACCTTCTGGGAGCTGGTTAAGAGGACATGAGGCATTGTCATTTAATGGTACAGAGTTTTAGTTTTGCTGGATGAAAATGTCCTAGAAGTCTGTGTAACAAAGTGTGAATATTCTTAACTGTTGAACTGTGCACTTAAAGTGTTTATGATTTTTTAAAAAACATTTTAAACCATTTTAATTTTTTTAAATTTTAATTATTATTTGTCAGGGGGTAGATTAGAGGGTATCAGATCACCACAGGACTGGAGTTATAGGAAGTTGTAAGCTTTCTGATGTGGGTTCTGGGAATTGAACTCAGGTCCTCTGTAAGAACAATATATTCTCTTAACCACTGAACCATCTCTCCAGCCTCTAGTTGATATGATTTTTTAAATATGTAATTGGTTTAGCTTCAAAAACATTGTGCTTAGGTGCAGAGGGCTCTTGAAGTTTCTGTGCTGACAATGAAGAATTCTGCAGTTTGTCTAAAAACTAATGTGTATCTACTGCACATAACTTAAAACCCAACTACTTCTCATGTTAGCTTCTCTGTTTCACAGCCAAAGAATGTCAGCAGAATGCTGTGTCATAGAAAACCACAAGACAACCTCAACCTATTAGAAGTCATCAGTGTCCACAGATCTAGCCTCACAGTGTACACCCTTAATTAACTACAGCTCTTCCAAAAGGCGTCTTCCCCATGCCGCACAAGGAGCATCAAGTTTGTCTACTTTACAAACTACAAATATGTACAGTTTTCAACTCAGTTTTCAGCCAATAACCATGCTAATATCACCTCACTAAATGAAAACAAAATGCCAGAAATATCTTTAAATGCCCTGTCATACCAAAAGCAAATTTCAGAGTAACAAGAGCACAAGAGTACCTTTCCTTTCTAGAGTGTTTGGAAACATGGACAACTTTGATACGATTTCAGGAGATCCACACATGTGTCCACTTTAAGTAAACCAGAGGCTTTGAGGAGCTGCAGGGTGACCGTGGTCAGAGTCTAAATAAAACACAACTAGGAGAGTGGACAGCTCAATAAGATGTGTGGATCATGATTCTCCCCCCCCCCCCCCGTGGTATTTGCAGAGAGACAGATAAACAAATTTTTAGCTGAGCATGATAGTATCTGCCTATAATCCCAGTACTATGGAGAGGCTGATGCAGGGGGATCAGGAGTTTGAGGCCAGCTGGGTTACATGAAACTGTCTCAAAAAAATAAAATAAAATAAAATAAAAATAAAAAATTAAACCAAATAAAATAGTTGTTTTCCTCCTGCTGCTCCTCATCTTCCATCTTTTTGTGGACAAAGTCCATAAGATGTTTTTACCCTGGGACCCTCCCTTTGGCTTGTACTTAGGACATCCTTCTCATATTTCTCCCTCTGCTTCTCCACCTGACTGATGCATGGCTGCTTTTCTCTGCTACTCAAGCTGTTCAGCATCTCACTCAACTGTTGTTTTTTAACCACTTCTACAATAGAGATTCCAGGATTTGTAGCTTTGATCTTGGGTCAGAATTCTGAACAAAACAAGTGCAGAAAGTTTCCCATGAACCAGCAGTAATGCCTTTTTCCTTCAGGTCACCTGTGAGCTGGTCCACAGTCCTTCGTTCCCCAAATGTAGCATGTTTTGTCCAACTTTGCCATTTCATCAGTTTTAAGTTTCCCTGCCCGGGCATTGTCTCCATTTCTCAGAGCACTTAGGAAATCCTGCAATATTGAGAGCATCTGGCTTTTCTTCTTGTGGTCTTCTCACACAAAGAGAGCATAAGGACATAAGCATTGGGGTCACCTTTAGCCATCCTGATGCATTGCCTTCTAGGAAACACAGACCACAATGTAAGGCTTCCTGGCCTCACACTAGCCACATCTATGACAGCCAACTCTTACATGATTGTTTCTGATTAAAATGTTAACAATAAAAACACAAGGGATCCATAATGACAGTCATTCTTGAGTCTTCCCACTCCAAAAATCTCTTTTCAACCCTAGGTAACCATTAATTTATTTAATGTGTAAATTAGCTTATTTGTCATTTCTCTTATAAATAGAATATACAATATGAGCTTTTTCATGACTGAACTTTTTCAGCTAACCTGATGTCAAGACGCATCTGTGTTGTTAGATTCACTAATGCTTTACTATTTTTTGAATTATTATTCAACAATGATAGTAATAATAAAACCATATTATTTTTTCAGCAACTGGTAAACATTTTGGTTTTTTTCTGTTGCAAGCAATTGCTCAGGATTCTGTAGGTACATGTTTTTGTTTCTTTTGGCATATATCTAGAAGTAAAATTCCTGAGTCATATGGTAGCTTTGTGCTTAACCTTTTGAGAAACTACAAACTGTTTTCCAAAGAAGCTCTATTATTTTTCACCCCCAAGACTTGTCTCTTCGACAGGTGGCTATGATATGCTATTTCATTGTGGTTTTAATTTCCTCATAGCAGTTGATAGTGATCTTTTTTTTTTTTTCATGTGCCTGTTGGCCATTTAGGTCTGTCTTATGAAGATATTTGTCAGATACTTTGCCAGCTTCATAACTGAGTTGTTTTTTTTTTTTTATTACAAAATTAGAAGAGTTCCTAATGTATCCCACATGTGGGTCCTTTATCACTCTGAGGATTATCTTTTCATTCTGTGTATGTGTGTGTGTTTGTATGATTTGAGACAGGATTTCACTGTAGCTCTGGCTGTCCTGAAACTTTTGTAGACCAGGCTGTCCTTGAACTCTCAGAGATCCTCCTGGAATTAAAGGTGTGCTCCATCATTCCCTGCTTTTTTTCCCTTTCTTAATGGTTTCTGGAACTTGTAGCACAAGACTTAAATTTGAAGAAATATAATGTTAATATACTTTTGTGATGTGTGCTGAAAAGCCATTACTTAATCCAAGGCCACAAGTGTTTATCTTATATGTTGTGAGTCTTAAAGGTGTTGGTTTTATATTTAGAGTGACTATTCAGTTTGAGATAATGTGTGTCCAACTTCATCCTTTTACATGTGGATAACTAGTATCCCACTACCACCTGTTAAAGACTACCATTTGACACATAGAATTGAATGGAAATGTCAGAGTTTACTTGTGAAGTTTCAGCTCTGATCCGTTCATCTATGTGTCTGTCCTTACCTACAATATTTCTGGAATACTGTAACTTTGTGATAAGTTTTGAAGTTGGCAAGTATGAGTCTTTCATCTTTGTTCTTTTTAAAGATAATTTACTCTTCTGAGTCCATGCATTTTCATATGAGTTTTAAGGTCACTTTCCTACCAAAAACAAAACAAAAAACACAAAAGAGCAGCTGAATTCTGATAGGGAATATACTAAATTGTTGATTAATTTGGGAACTATTGCCATCTGACCCATGTAGAATTAGACTTCATATGCGTATGTCTTTAATTTTCCTCACCTATGTTTTACATGTACAGAGGACAAAACCTGTATATAGGTTAAATTTGTTCCTAAGTGCTTATTATTTTTGATGTTATTGAAAATGAAATTGCCCTGTCTTTATTTCCCCACTTTGAGATGGGGTCTTATGGAACTCAGGCTGGCATCAAACCTGGTATGTAATCAGGAATGACCTTGAGCTCCTGAAGTTCTCTCCTGTCTCTATCTCCAGTGCTGAGAGTGTAGGCATGCACTGCCACACCTGGGCTGTGAAGTGCTAGGGATCAAACCCAGGGCTATGCGAATGCTGAGCAAGCACTAGCAACTGAGCTACATCCTCAGCCCAGAATGTTACTTTTTATTTTTTAATTAATTATTAGTTTGTGGTTGGGGGGAGGAACTGGCTGGCTGGCTGGCTGGCTGGCTGAATGTGGTTAGGGTATAAGGTTAGGGGTTAGAGTTAATAGAATGATGATAACATTGGGCCATTGAGTATCATTAGAATACTTTAAAGTCTTTTAGTTTCAGTCTATAAATAAAAGTTTCAAGATTGATGTCTTAGACAGTGTTCTATTACTGTGAAGAGACACCATGACCACAGCAACTCTTATAAAGGATAACATTTAATTAGGGCTGACTTACATGTTCAGAGGCTTAGTCTATTGTCACGGTGGGGAACAAGGTGGCACAACAGGCAGACATGATGTTGGAGTGGCAGCTGCAAGTTCTACATCCAGATCCTCAGACAGCAGGAAGATAGGGCCACTGGGCCTGGCTTTACCATTTGAAACCCCAAAGCCTAATCCCAGTGACACACTTCCTCCAACAAGGCCATACTTCCTAACGTGCTGGTGACCAAGCATTCAAATCTGTGAGCTTATGGGGGTGTTCTCATTCAAACCACCATAAATGTGAATGTTCTTGCATTGCAGTTTGGTCATAT